TTCAATTTTGTTTGCGGAAACGTATAGAATGTTGCAGTAGACATTCGATGAGCATTCCTATATCGGAAAGAAATGTTTAGAAGTGGTATAAACAGTTCAAAGAAGACAGAGAAAGCGTTGAAGACGAAGGGCCCTCTGGTCGATCCTCAACCTCAACAGACGAAGCTCACGTCCAAAAAATTAAAGATTTGGTGCTTGCAAACCGTTGATTTACAATTAGAGACCTTGTTGATGAGATTGGAATTTCAAAAGGATCAGTCAGTTCCATTTTGGACTTCAAACGCGTCAAATCTCGATGGGTACCGAAAACACTGAATGCGTCAGCTCTCACTGCATTGATTCTTCATGACTTCGCCAAAAAGGAAACCCACATCGTTCCACAACCACAGTCTTCACACCGTGCGACTTCTGGCTTTTCCCTAAACTCAAAAGACCCCTCCGGGGACACCGTTCTGAGTCGATTGAAGAGATTCGACGTGAATCGGCGTGTGCTTTGAAGGCCATCCCTGCCGATGGCTTTTTAGCATGCATTGAGGATTGGAAAAAAAAGTTGGCATAAGTGCAATGTGTCCGGAGGGGATTACTTTGAAGGCGTTGAAATAAATTTTAAAAAAAATAAATAAAGATTCTTGAAAAAAAATTGGTTTTACTTTTTTGTCACAGTAGTATACAATAAAAGCAGTTCAAAAGAAGTAATGATACTAGCATAATCTTAACTTCGTTTTATTTATTTTTTTCTCTACGATACTTGTACATATTGTTGATAAAATAATTTTGTATAATATTTGCATCATTCAATCATATTTTTAATATTATTTAAATCAGGGGTGGCCAACCTGCCGGGCCTTGAATATTTTTCCGGCGCATAAGATTGATCACACTTTTGCAACACATATTTGTTTTATAATGGCCAAATGAGTGAAAACCAATGTATTAAAAACACATTATCTGTACATCCCTATATTCAAAAATGAACTGTTGAAATGATGAGAAAAAATTAAGGTTGATTTTAAAATAATATTCTTACGAATATAGGACATATATTGCTTGTTTTATTGATGAGTTTAAAGGTATGAGTTCGCAGAATAATTAAATTATATTCTTGGAACATCTAATATAACAGGTTCTATGCTTCACTCTAAGTGGCACAGGGATCATCCCTAAATACGCACAGTTGATTGTTGAAAGCAAAGCTGTTAGTCGAAGTTGTTGGCGCTTTTGGTTTAACTACTTACACCTGCGAATTGTTTTTTTCAAAAATGAAATGGACCCAACACGAAATACGCTCAAATATAACGGCCGCTAATCTAAACACCAATTACGATGCGTAAATACCCAAATGGAGATCTTATTTGCAAAAGCTAAATGAAAGAGTGGAGAAACATATATCGCACTAGTCAAATAAATGTTTTTTTTTTTTTAATTTCGTTTATATTTATATATTTTTTATATTTCAATTTGAGTATTATATACTCATGTTTGTGAAAATTGCAACACCATGAAGGAATCGTCATAATTGAATGAAATTTAATACACAGTTCAGTGGTAGTGGTACAAATAAAAGATTAAATGTTCAAAGCAAACAAAAAAATAACAAGAGATCGGAATCAGTATTTAGTGTAGCCACCACGCGCCGCAATAAGTGCTGCTACACGACGTGGCATGGAGTCAAACAAATTTTGAATGTCTGCCTGAGGAAGAGCATTCCATATTGTTTGTATGCGTACCCAAAGTTCGTCTGCAGAAGCAACAGGACGAGGATCACGAGCGAGATGCCGACCAACGAAATCCCACACATGTTCAATCGGCGACATATCCGGGGAATACGCAGGCCAAGGAAGAAGCCGTACCTGCCGCGTTGCAAAGAAGGATTGAACAGTCCTAGCGATATGAGGGCGGGCATTATCCTGTTGAAATACAGCTCCTGGCAAGCTTTGAAGGAAGGGAACAGCTTGGGGCTGTAGAACTTCACTGATGTACAGGTTGCTGTTCAGATTGCCCACAATTCTTAGCAATTGAGATCGTCCATGATATGCTATGGCACCCCAGACCATAACTCCGGGTGTTCGTCCACTGGGGCGTTCGATAATGCACTCCGGAAGGTGGCGTTCACCGGCATAGCGTCTGACACGAATGCAGCCATCATGGTACCACAAATTAAAGCGGGATTCGTCAGAAAACGCGACGTGCGGCCAATCAGCACGCCAGTCCCTATGCTGAGCGGCCTATTATAGCCGCAGGCGGCGATGGTTTAGCGTGAGAGGGATCCTGTATAACTGAGTCCTTGCGCGCAGTCCACGCTGCAGCAGGCGTCTGCGAATTGATGAAGCACACAATGAAACACCTGTAGCTATTGACCACTGTGCTGCCAATTGTCTAGAGGAAGCTATACGGTCCGTCAGCGCCATGCGGACCAGGTGTCTATCATAGCGAGCTGATGTCACATTTCGGGGTCCACTCCCGGATTTCCGAGTTGTCCGACACTCGTCCGTCCACTGCTTCCAAAGACGCATCACTGTGCTGCTGTTACGCTGCACACGAGCGGCTACTGCACGATAAGACAATCCAGCTTCACGAAGGCCGATGATTCTCCCCCGTTCAAACTCTGTAAGTTGTTCAAATCTCGCTCTCTTTCGTCGAAGAGGCATAAGTAACGATTGAGCTAACGTTTACCACTAGCAGATAACCACCGATAACCATACACGCCTCGCAACAACCGTCTACTTATTCGGATCCATCTGCCGTTCAGAGGGCGCTGCTCAGCATAAGCATACGCTACGGATTTGAAATTCTAATCATTTGCATATCATGCGCTAATTTTTGCATCTCCTGAAAATTTCAGCTCACTCGCGTAAGTCCTTCATGGTGTTGCAATTTTCACAAACATGAGTATATATTTCTTTACAATGTGCGTCTTGTATCATTATTATTATATTATCTATATTCACATGCAAGAATAATAGTAAACACAAAAATAATAACTCGTCATGTTTAAATGTTTCACTCCCAAAAAATGTCTATAGTGGAGCTAAATCTAATAGGAGGATATATAATTTGATATGCCGCCGCAAGATCATTAGATGTATGAGTTTACAGTTATGAGTTCGCAGAATAATTGAATTATATTCTTGGAACATATGAATAGGTTCTATGTTTCACTTTAAGTGACCTGAGTGACACAGTAACCATCCTTAGATATGCGCAGTTGATTGATAATAGCAGAGAAAATCAGACTCTTAGTCCAAGTTGTTAGAGCTTTTGGTTCACCTGGGAATCGTTTGTTTCGAAAATGAAATTAATGAAAACAAAACACGCTCAAACATAAAAATTTGAAAATATTATTAACATATTTGAAAAAAGCAATAATTTTAAATTATTATTAACATGTTTGAACAAAAATAATAATTTTAAATTGTTATTAACGTATTTGAAATAAAGTATCTCTATTGTTACAAACAAATTTTTTTCAAACTGCAATTGCACATTATAAAAATACAACTTCATACAAACTATACAAAATTAAGCTTTTTTTATAAGCTATTAAATATTGCTTTAATTTGTACATGCGTATTAAGTAAATATGTTAGTATGCATATTTTCCATTTATAACAAATTTTTTTATGATAAGAAAAATTTAGAAATCGATTTTTATATAACATTTTTTAAGGGCAAATAATTATCTATCTCACAAAATAATAAAAAATTGATTTATAATAAAAAAAGATTTTCTATATAATATATTCAGAGATTAGAAGAATAATATTACTTTAGATTTATCGCGGTTTTTTTGAAAATAATAACAATATTTTTTTTATTTTTTGATATTTAAAGATCATTAATTATTTGAACCTTCAAAGAAATATATTTGTACAATAGCATTTTTAATCTGTGAAAATGCTCTAATTAGGAACAAAAAACACATTTATTTTATAATGCAATACATTGATATATAATGTAATATATATCAATAATATCTATCAATATAAGGTAATATATTGATATATAATAATCGATGAATCCTAAATTATTCATTTATTCAATCGATATAGCAACATTAATTTTCCGTTCGATAGTGATCATTTTCAATAAATATTTCATTGAAATCCCATGCATTTTTCTATAAAAAAAGAACATTTTCTATCCTAGATCATTTGTTAAAATTCAGGAAGTATAATTGTATCAACTTCCATGGATATAACGAACAAATGTCTAAAATAATTTGGCCATTTAGTGCATATTATTATTATTATTATATTTGTTTTCTGTATTGTTATAAAATCAGCAATTTATGCGTGCGTCTGTGTCTTTGCATTTCTTATAATAAACATTAACATTCTTATAATAACATGTCTTATAATTTCTTATAATCTTCGCATTTCTGAAATATTCACTTTTTTAAGATTGTTTATTTTTTTTAATGTTTAGTGAAAAATGTTTTATTTAATGCTTTTCTGCTTTAATACGTATAGAATGAGACATTTAAATAATTTTATCTAAGTGTTTGCATTTTTAAACAATTTTTATTTGCTTAGTTATTATTTTTTTTAATTATTTAATCATTTATTTAATGTCACTTCAAGTATTATACTTTTTTATAATTCCGAACGGTGTCAAAAATTATTTTCGTTCTCTATTCATTTGTTTGTTTTATTTTTCTATTTCTTTTTCTTCAATCTATTTCATTTTCCAGTAATATGGCATTGATTAACAACAACACAACAAACAAAACAAAAAATTGAATCTTTTTCTTTATAATTAAATATTTTTAAGGTCATAAATTTTATAAATTAATGTTAAAATATTTTTTTTAAATTCATCTAATGATCATTTGTTGGTAAACTGTGTGATGTATTGAATTTTGCTAATAATAATTTTCATTTATTTTCCTATTAACAAAACACTTCAAATTAAAATGTATCAGCATATTTAACGCAGAAAGATAAACTAATCTTTTCTATAGCAGATAAGCATTTTACATTTATTTGCTTATACGTGGATGTGGCCTGGTGGCGGAACGGTAGCGCGTCTGACTCCAGATCAGAAGGTTGCGTGTTCAAGTCACGTCTGGGTCATAATTTCTTCGTTGCTTAGTTTTTTTTTTTTCTTCTATTATCTTAACATAGAATTAAACATTTCTTTTCGAAAAGAGTTTATCTAATTTTTTAAAGAAATTTGCTTACTAAGATTTCAAATTACTCAAAAATTGGAAACTATTCTTTTTTACTTAATTATCGCGTAACAAAATCATTTACTGACCAATCAATATATTCGAAAATAATAAATTTTAGAAATAATTCCTTGATTTAGGACATTTTCATTTGAGGTTAAACAGTATAATATGTTAATTATTTTCCATTCTTGCTAATAGTAGCTTTCATTTAATTATCAATTTAGCAGTAAATAACAAAGTTAAATAGATCAGTATATTTAATGCAATCAAATAAACTCATTATTTTCGTAGGACATAAATTTTGATAGCATATATTTTGATCTAGTACTACTCACGGCCTGGTGGCGCAACGGTAGCGCGTCTGACTCCAGATCAGAAGGTTGCGTGTTCAAATCACGTCCGGGTCAGTCTATTATTTTTTTTTCTCTTTTGCGTAGAATACTTTTATTATGTTGTTTGTTGTTGTTGTTTCTTATCCCACTTGGCTGGCCAAGCCCACGAGCCCATATGGACTCATGATTGAAGGGGAAGGAAGCAGCTTCTGTTGTGATGGAGCACCCGTAGGTAGAAGCCTGACTTTTGCTCCGTGACGCTCTTACAGTCATAGAAGACCGGGACCTACGGCTTAAAGTGGATTCCGAACCACTACAAACATCCATGGCACCGCCGGGATTCGAACCCGAAACCTGTGGCACCGAGCGCCAGAGCGCTAGACACTCGGCCATTTTATTATAGAAACAATAAACAAAAATCATAATTTTTTTTCCCAGCATCTGGAAATACAATAAATTAAATACTTCTATTTGAAAAGAGTTTATTCAATTCTTTGAAAAGAAGGCTTAATTTCTAACAAATCAACAATTTGAAAAATTTAATTGAAAAAATAAAATAAGTAAAATAAAAATTAACTTATTGATTTACAAAAAAAAAAAAAAAAAAAAAAAAAAAAAAAAAAGAAAAGAAAGAGCTTGAAGGTTATTTAAAAATGATAATGAGCATAATACTAAATATTACTTCCTTTTTACAATGCATTTTTAAATATACATAATGTATATAAAAAATAAAGAATGTAATCATATATATCATGTCTAGATATCGCAAGGCAAAATTCCTTACTAGTAAAACAAAGATTAACTTATGGATTTGTAAAAAAACATTTTTTGAGCGAAGTCTTACAAAAAAAATTTAAAAATAAAATTAGTTTATTTACAATATATTCACAAACAATAAATTTTAGATAAGTTTTAGCTCATTAAAGTCTAAAGTATATAAAATTGCTTATTATATTTATCCGGTAACAAAATTAATTATACATATAGTAGTCATTTTCTTATAAAAAATAAAATTTATTTAATTTCTTATAAACAATTAATATGCTTCTATTAACGAAATTTGTTGTATTGCCCACCAAATTTAAATTAACGCTGATATTTTTTTAAAAGAAAATTGCCAAAAACTTTCAAATCAAATAATAAAAGAAAATTAATTAAAAATTTTTTTTTAATTTTAGTATAAAGCAAAATTTAAATAATCAAAATAAAGGTTGTAATATAACGAAACATAAGTAATCCAGTGACATTAACAAACTTTTACAAAAATCTTATTATAGAAGATGATAGAAGAATTATTCAGCTTATAAGAAAAAAACAGCTGCAAATATTATTAAAACGAATGCAGATAAATAATTTAAGAAATAAACAATTAATAATGAAACTGAAATTGCAACCTGAATTTTTTCAATGAAATTTATATTTGATCAAAACTAATTCATGTAATTATCATAAATTTAATTCAATATATTTAAAAAGGAATTTCGAAATATATCTAAAATAAAAGAAAAAAATTGTTCAAATTATATCACGTTCTTTAAAAAAAAAAAAAAAAAAAAAAAAAAATCCATATAGTTCCAAACTTAAATTGTACTTTTTATAGATTCAACCATAAAAAAAACGGAAATGCATAACCTTACGTTACGTTACGCAATATTAACCTTACGCTGCGCTATATTCTAAAGAAAAAATTAAAAACAAAAAAAAATTGTTGTTTGAATTTATTTAAATGCACTAATTTAAAAAAGTGGGAGAAATCATTGAATTAAAGAGTCATTATTATTATGCCACTTTGGCATCGATTCACTAACAGCCGATACTTCTCGCTGTTCGGTCGTTACCATGGTAACTACTGCGGCATGAAGATTTTGAATTTAATCTATATGAAGCTGGCATGTTGCGAAACAGTGCTCAACGATTTTATGAATAAATGAAATAAATTCCATCAAAATTTTATAACTAAAAGTGTTTTTTTTTTATTCAGAAAATTTCAATATATGTTGTTTTTTTTTCTTTTCTTAAAACTATTCTCTTTGGTAAAGAAAAAAAGAAACAATGCTTTTTCTTCGTTTATGTTTAACGCAGCGATTCTCAATCTGTGGGACACGCCCCATTAGTACAGGGCGTGATAGCATTAAATGGGGCTGCGAGCATACCGAAAAGAAAATATTACTTAAAAAATTATTAATTTACTGAAATCAAAACAAAACAAAATATATTAGTAAATTAATTGTATAAAAAATAAAATACATATTTACATTGATAAAATATACTTATAAATAGGATTGTATATTGGAATATAGGATTGCATATTGGAATATAGGATTGTATGTTCGAATATATGACTGTACATGTGAATATTTAATAACGCAAAATGCGATTAACATGCAAACAACAGAAAAAAATCCACATTTATTATAAATTGCCTACTTCGACTTGGATCGGCTGAAATTGATAGAGGTACAGTACTCATTTGTGGTCGTACAAACTTTCCAGAATGTTCGAGAGAAATCGAAACTTCTCGCGAAGCCGTGAGAATGTACAATATGGGGGACATAAGACAGATTGCATTAGACAGACATCGATAAATGCACATTACATTGATACAATACACTAAATAGGATTGTATATACGAATATATGATTGTATATGTGAATATTTAATAACGTAAATGTAAACAACAACATACACATTCATGATAAATTGCCTTTGTATTGTCAAGAATCGATTCGACTGAGATTGGTTGGAATGGATCGAGGTGCAGTATTTATTCACGGTCCTACAGACATTCCAGAATGAGGAATATTCTGCTTTAAACTACCTCAATTCAATTTTGAATTCTCACGATTTCCTTCAACCTCTGGGCGTTGCCAATGTTTTCCTTCCTTTATGTTTGTCACCACCGGAGGCTCTAACAATCCTCAACGTGATCATTCCAGAATGTTCGAGAGAAATCGAAACTTCTCGCGAAGTCTTGAGAATGTACAATATGGTAGAAATAAGACGGAAGCCAATAGAGAGGCATTCATTCGCTTTTTGTCAATTCAGTGGATCTGCTTAATCAAATATTAATATATTTATTTAATCCTGATATTTCGTAAGGTTTGCAATTAAGGGCGTATTTTAGCTGTAGCATCAAAATACTCAGTCCAGTCACATTAATGTGACCACCACCTACTTTCGACATCAACGTGAAATAACCTATCACAAAAGGCAGGTGGCAGTACATTGCAATCGAGCGTATATAAAGGATGTCCTAGGGCATCGGAAAACATTTCAATCATTATATTTATTTATAATCGAATTTTATAAGCCACTCTGGCAAAGGTGGTTATTCTGGCTTTTGACAGGTGGTCACATTAATGTGACTGGACAGTGTACATTATTATTGTATGGGGCTTATTATGATTGAAAATTTGGCTGCAAATGCTGAAAAGTTGAGAACGTGTTGATTAATGATTTTATATCAAATCGTTTTGTGTGCTAATGGTTATATTTTAGGGTTCTATCTAACTGCCAGTGTCCTGCAGCTCGGGAGGAACATCCCATGAGTAGTTTAGTCATGGATGGAGGGAAATGTTCTGTTGTGATGGAGCACCCGTAGGTAGAAGTCTGGCTTGGCTCCGAGTCGTTGAAGAAAGAGGACAGTGCCTTGCGGGAGGACTTTTTTGGAAGTTGGAATGGGACAAACTCCCACTATGTAATCCGACTCATGATACTAAACGTCACAAATGCTATCGAAATTCCTCGTTTTTTGAGACAGCGGAGGGAGCCCTAATGCTCATCAGTGATGCGCATTACCACTCAGCCACGAGTCGGGCAGGGTTTACTGTAAACGAAACAATGTTCTATGAAAAATACAATACATTTTGTTTTCGAAAACTTGTCAATTTTTTTAAGAAATTTATTAGACTTAAAATGATTCGTTAATTTTTTTAAGCACGCAAACACAGCTGATAACAAAACGCAAATGACGTCGAAAATTGACGTAGCTCATGTTTGTCAGGTGTTTCCTGTCGCAAGTTCAAGCAGATTGAGGTTATTATTTGGCTATTTTATATTTAAAAAATATCGTTAAGCATCATATATATATATATATATACTTAATTTTTATCTTAAATATTCTACATATTTTTTCAAATAAATATTGAATGTTTTGATAAAGGATGATTTGATTTCTGAATTCCACGATGAAAACTTTTCGCACCTATTTTTAGACGGCTATTTTCACTTAGAGCCGAAAGAATTAATAAATCCCATGCAGAAATCGTTCCAATAATTTTCGTTTATATATTTCTATAAACCGATTTCACTACCAACTAATAATACATAAATATCATTACGCAGAATTACATAATGCCAAATACAGATGAATTGTAAAGATTACTTTGTCAAATATTGAAAGAAGTAGCTGTAAAATAAACCGTTTTATGCCCTGGTTTGCAATGGTTCTATAATTTTTTATTTATTTTGAACTCCGAAGACACGTCATTAAAAAATCTACTTTACAACTTTCAATAAGAAGGGGGCCTGATGGCCGAGTGGCTAGCGCACTGGCACTCGGTACCACAGG